TGACTGGGGTTCAGACAAACAAGATAGAAAATCTTTTACTAGTTATGTTTTCAAATTTTGCGAGCGTTTCTTCTCATTTAAAAGTTGTAAACAGCGGACAGTTGCCTTATCGACAACCGAAACTGAGTATATGGCTCTAAGCGAGGCAGCAAAGAAGGCCATATATCTGAGAAACCTTCTTTGTGAGATCACTGGTAAATTGGATTGTATTGATATTCACAATGACAATCAAAGTGCCCAAAAACTAGCAAGCAATCCAATTTTCCATGACAGATCGAAACACATTGATATAAGGTATTATTTCATTAGAGATGCACTCTCTGAGAATAAAGTTAACTTGAAATATTTGCCAACTGATGAAATGATAGCCGATATATTACACGAAAGCATTACAGAACATTGAAAACTAAAAGTTTGTAAAGGGTTTAGGATTAAGTTATACTTCTACTTTTTTTGAGTTTCGTTTATAATTTGTGAACTTTTGTTAAGTGGGAGTGTTGAAAATGTGTAGTTTCTTTCTCTCTCTCTCTCTCTCTCTCTCTCTATCTCTCTCTCTCTCACTCAGTGTGAGTGTCATCACATTTTTAGTCTAATACATGATTTAATCGCAAGTGTTTTCATTTTTATCCTGAGCTGCCCAAGTGTTTGTAAGGTAATTTATTTTTAGACAATTTACTAACAGTCTCCCGTTTGCATTGAAACACACATCATGAAAATGTCTAGTACAAATAAATGTACTTAAACAAATTATCTGTCGATCTTGCCAATAAACGATCACATCCAACGCGGTGGCACCAAATATTTCTCAACTTTTTATTTTTTGAAAATACACACCTCAAAATGTTAAGTCTTGAAAAAATGTTCATTGCGTAAAACAACCAACGCCGGCACAGAAGCCTTGTAACTTTAAAATGGCAAATCACGACGATTGAGCGGGACCGCCACCTTATTCATAATACCTGTCACATGTAAAAAGGTAGAACCATTTTTTATAGAAAATTTATGTTACAGTAATAAGACGTTTTATTTTCAATTTATTGCTGATTTCTTGACAATTCATCTTTAAAATAATTTTGTTTTAAAACTAAATTGTTTTTATGTAGGTACCACTTCGGGTGATCAACTTTGGCGATATATTGTTTTAGTGTTGTTTCTCTTAGGTTAAGGTATATTGTTCTGACTCTTATCACATATATTTGAAGTCGGTTGGAAAGATAATCCCTTTTTCAACCTGAGAGGAGCTATCGGAGGATAGCTTCGAATGTTACCCATTCTGGTTTCACCTCTAGATGTTTCTGGTTTAAGTTTGTTCCATATATGGTCACCAACCTGGTAATAGTGACAAAATAATAGGAATAAAATTAAAAATGCGACTAAAAAAGATGCAATTGAAATAGTGAGTGCGAAAATTGGATTGTAGACATTAGGTTCTTTGTCGGGTATGGTATTCGTTGGTATTATTTCATTGTATTCGTCTTCGTCTTCGTGACTAGTGGTTTGAGTAGGTATCATCTCCGGACCGTCAGAAGCACTTCCATCAATCCTGATGTCAGAACATGCTCGAAACTCTTCTTGGGGACCACATCCCACTGATCCGGTTCCGTTGGGACAATTACCCCAGTTGTTCCCTGAAAGATTTTGCTGCGCGTGAATAAATATTTTGGATAAAAAACAAAGAATGAAAATCAAATCAAGTTACCATTAGTCTATAGAAAAATAAATATATAACAAGTTGGTTGACCCCATTTTACTATTGTGCCAATTTCCGTTGTCAGACCTGGAAATGGATTTTCAGCTGTTACTATATAATGCAATTTTGTCTTCCATAAAAACATTCTACAGATACCATTTTCATTACGTATAAAAATGCAAATATTTTTTTAAACTTCCCAGTACTCTGCTGTGCCTCACCAACGAGGAAAGCTCTTTCAGATAATTGAAGCTGCAATTCAGAATTAAGATATTTTCAAAACTTACACAGTTGATTGCATGCCCTTATAAATGAATGTAATAGGAGTGATGTTTATTTGGAAAAATGCAATTGGAGCAGTTTTTATCTCTAGTCAGATAATAATCAGAAAATAATCAAATCTATATCGCCAATCTAAGCGTGCACTAATATACAGGGAGTCTCATTTAAAATAGCAAAGTTGTATGTAGTTTTCGGTATAAGCGACAACGTTGCATTGCTGAAAATATTTTAGGCCAATAGAGCATATCCGGTGACTACGTTCTACAAATTTGCAGATAAATCGTGCATCGCGTTCTCCTTAAACGTCTAATACGCCATCGACCATGAATCACCCTGTATATTGCGCTTTGTCCGATAATAAAAATAATGACTATTAACCATTGGGTACGTCGCGGCTAATTCAGCTTGTTTCACCAGCGCGAAACGCTATTGGGTGGGTTGATATGTTATTGTCATTGAGATTTGATTGATTGATTACGTTTGATAATTAATTAATTACATTTGTTATTAGCAATGCCAAGTAGATACAGCTGATGCCAAACAGCTTTTAATTATCAAGCTGATGAACTAGTTTCAGCACGCGGAACAAGAACCCCTTTAACATTTGGAGTCAGTATACAATGTAAATATACCATATTTTACTTGATTATTATGAATAAAAGACTATTTTTAATATAGTATCTCATGCTCGGGAAGTATCATTATCAACTGTTGAAAATATATCACATAATGGCGTCCAAAGAGATAATGAGTACCGGGATTGTACCTTGATGACTTCAATAATTTTATTCCAAAGGAACCCAATACCTGAATAACATTAACATTGCATGAACATTAAACAAGTAGCGTTAATAGCGTAGCTACTTCACAATAATGTAACACGCAAAGGTTGAACAGAAGGACATAACAGATATTCGAGACCGTGTGAAATATTCAGGTAACCCTGGATACAAAACTTTCGGTTCAAGGAATGCGTCAAACAAAAAACAAATTTACACATTTAGGTCGTTGTACAGGGTTATTGATTGAACTTTGGTCACCCCGTTTTAACATCTAATTTGAAATTT